GTGAGATTTGAACCGCTGACCTGCTGATCTAGCAGTAGCCTGCAGTGCTGCATTTAACCACTGCGCCACCTTGGCTCCTATTATGATACCCATAATGCATAGGCTAACAACCTAATTTTGGAATGAAGGCAAATCTGATGTGATGCCATAGGTCAGTACAGGTCTTCCAGCAAACTCTGACCATTTGGCTTAATAACAATTATATTGTTATGACATTATAAGGTAGAACCCAAAAGATAAACATCAAATGCAGTCCCCAAAGTATGACAAATCACAAGTGAGTAGATTATGCTCCTGTTCCACCTGAATTTCATATATATGCAGATTTGTTCTCCTCTGGCTTATATTTTGTATCCATGTTTAGTGTAACAAAGATACTTTTGTTTACAGTAACTTAAAATGTATAGAATATTTTAATATATTCATTTTTGTAAAGATTTTTCTAGTGTTTACAAACACATATTTTAATCTTTGAGACTATCCTAATATGCAAATTGCTGAACTAGTTACTTCTGTTATGAAAAGCAAATTCTGTGTAAATGCACTACTATTAATTTCTCATGGGCATAGAAATGTTAAAATCTGTAGAAAGTTTGAACATGTACAAAAGTACTCCATCATGAATGCATCACATACCCACAAAAAAGAAGAAGAAGAAGAAGAAAGGGAAAGAATCCTACGCTTTTTTTTTGGCATAATCATGCTATTTTGCACTAGTAAGAATTGTATCATTTTTGTGTTGGTTCCAGAAACTATCTGTATTGGTCTAAATTTAAAGCAGATTTGCACACCTTTGCATTGCTTTTCTGACACACATTTTTCATGACTTTCCTCAAAGGCTTGGGATTTTATTTTGCTAATTGCCTTAGTTTCCTATCATAACATTGGACTTCTGTAACATTTTTATCTTAATCATGTTATGACTAATGTGCCAGCTGCTTCATTTCCCTTAACAGTTTTTCTACATGAGACAGCAAAATAGTGCAAGTGCATCAAAAAGTAATAATCAGAATGCTAGTGGGCACCTTTTATCTACCACCTTATGTAGCAAAAATGTGTATGAAGCACTTATTAGGAATGTTAATCTGTTCCTAAACACACAAGTGTATTAAATAGAGGCATTTAGATGCTGTTTTATACATGAGTAATTGTTTATCATAATATAGCATAAAGTGGCTAAATTGTGCCAGTATATAATATAGGTGGTGAATAGAGTTTAATGATGCATCCCACAGGGATATTTCTGTGAACAATAGTGCTTTTTACATTAATTTGCATGGACCTTATACAGATTCCTGTGGATTGCATCCTTAGGCATCTAAATAAAATGATTTTTTTAAAAAAAATCTCTATTTTGAAACCTGATTTAGTGCATATGTGCAATAGAATGAATATTTTGCACTTCAGTTTTCCATCAATGCATAAGAATTAAGATGGGAATCACTTGATCTGCAAGGATCAGTTTTAAAGTGGATTATGGTAATTCTAATACTTTACTGTCATTCCATGTTCACAGTTTCAAAACATCTTTGAGAAGCCCCATTGTAACCCATTCTTAGGTAGAGAAACTGAGATAAATTCATTTGAAGAAAGTCTGTTTTGGCTTAGTTCTTAGTAAACCATGAGATGATTAGATATATGAATTATTGCTATGATATATTAATTAAGCCACTGTGATTTGCTTGGTTTATGGCTTAACATAAGACAAACCATTACGGCTTCCACAAAATGGCTTAGCATAATAGCAATAGCAATAGCACTTAGACTTATATACCGCTTCATAGTGCTTTTACAGCCTTCTCTAAGCAGTTTACAGAGTCAGCATGTTGCCCCCAACAATCTGGGTCCTCATTTTACCCACCTCGGAAGGATGGGAGGCTGAGTCATCCTTGAGCCAGTGAGATTTGAACTGCTGAACTGCAGCTAGCAGTCAGCTGAAGTAGCCTGCAGTACTGCACTCTAACCATTGAGCCACCTCTAATCCCAGTGAGCTCGTGGTTTGGATGGAATTAGGATCCAAGTCCCTCAATTTTATCTCCAATACTTCTTAATAATCATCTTCCAGAGATATTTGAATAACAGTGGCAAACAGTTTGATGTATGGGAAGAGGTGGTTTGTACCGTCAGATGTGTGGGGACTGGAAGTTTCCAGAGTAGTGGCTAAAAGCTCCAGTCTTAAGACATCAGGAGAATGGCTGGTAGAGAAAACCACTCTAAGGTAATAGAATTCTAACTTTACAATAATCATACTGATGCAGCACAATTTGTAATGCCTTGAAAAGCAGTGGACTACTTGTTAAAAGCTTTCTAATAAATTGGAAATTAAGTAGCACTTTTTACTGGCTACTCTGTAAGAAGGAATAAGTTCCATCAACAAACTTTTGTGTATGTTAGTCAGCTGACAGTAACTTTTGCTTACTGGGTTTCCCCCCCCCCCCAGATAAATATTTGCAGTGTGAGATAAAGAGAATGGGATGGGATGTCAGTTATACTACCTATACAACACTGTCTTTTTGTGGCATAATAATACAGATGCTCAGAGTGAAACTAACATACTCTTTCATGCACCTTATGATATATGTACCCTTTCCTAAGGCAAGTATGTAACAACACCCCAGAGAAAATGTATGTTGCAGCCACACAATTTTGGTTGTTCTTAGCAATTAAAAATCACTCAAGCTATCATTAGATTTTTGAAACTATACTATGAAATGGAAACTTCAAAAATCTATAAATACGTTCTTCAGAGTTGAAGGTAGTATTTCCTGAGAAGGTCCATTTTAGATGCTAGGAGAATTTCAGCTCTTCCTTGAATTGTCATAAGAAATGTGCTTCCTTTCACTTTACCTGCCACACACTTCCAACTCTGGATTGAATCCAGATATCCCAGTGGTCACAGGGTCAAAGAGAAGTACCTTTAGGAACTCACTCAACATAGTTGTAGTGTGTTGTTTTCTATAACTTTTTTGAATTAGGAGGCCTACTGTGACAGAATGTGAGAATTATATGGCTATTAATCTTTGATTGTAGATACCTTACTTGACAATATGATCTGTTGAGTATATCTGTGAGTATTTTTGCACTTTTGAGTTCATATATTTCTGCACTTGTTTTAAGAGTATGTCATGATTACCAAAGGTAAAATTGTGGTGATGTTAATTCAGACCTGAGATTCAGTGTACATGTGCTTATGCCGATAGGCTATTACGATTTTACTACAATTCAGCAGTTTCCCATATATGGAACTAGATTAGTAACAAGTGTATAATTTCTTTGGTAGCCTCACCCATACATTGGCTAGCTATTTTTGCAGCCTGCTTCTCTTAATAGCACTTAAGATGTATTTCATCCAACTATGAATTTATATTTGAAGCATATTCTGTTTAAAAGTATCATTATATTTGGATAAATGAGTCAACCTAAGTTCATTTAAAATATATATAAAATCAGACTATTTGGGAAACTGGTTGTTGATTTGTTTTTTTGCTTGCCTTTGTAAATATATGTATAACAATCTTGTATAAATTAGTCCATCCTGTTCCACCTTCAATAATAATAGACTTAGTATCAATCTTTATAAATGGAAGTCTGTTGCTATTTATACCTTACTTCATCAGTTCAACTTCAGTTTTGTTTGTGACATGGAGTGTGGATAAAAATTTGGCATGGTTCAGAGGGTCATATATATATTTAATAAGCTGATACAAATAAGCTTTTTGCCTATGTATATGGATTGCAGTTCCAAATTACTGCTTACCAGTTTTAGAATAAAATCAAAGTATGAAAATCAACTTTATGGTTTCATGCACTGGTGTGTTCTAAAACACATACTCATATGCTGTGTTTGGTAAAATGTAATACACCAGTTAATTTGACATTTTCCCCATTGACCCTATAGAATAAAGTACAGTACTTAGTGTTGTAAAAATGCTGAGTAATTATTCAGTAAGATATATAAGAATGAGGAAAAATAGCTCATATGTGTCTGTTTGTTTATTAAAGTAATGTGACCATCTGAATGCAGCCATTTTTATGTATGATTTATAGCAATATTTGACCATAGTTTTGAAGTAGCCTGAACCAGTAAACAGTTAACAAAAATGACACCACAGTTAACTGGAATTCTGAAGTGATGGTTAAAGCCAGCTATTTATGGTCTTATGATCTGCAGCTGAAATGTCTTGAGAGAAATCCAATATTTTCTATAATAAAAGTAGCATTGTTATTTGTAATAAAAGTGATTTGTCCTAATGTTTTTGTTTTTTTAAAACCTATGGTATTAGTTTAAAAAATGCAACTTTCAACAGTAATAATTACATTTGGAAATAAACGTTTCACATATTCACATTGCAGAGTGTTTAGTGTTCTAAGAAGCTAAATTTTGCAGTATGTTATTTTGGCTTTAGTGCAGGGGAAAACAAGGTGAGATGTGTGGGGTTGATTTTCAAGTGTAATAAAACTTTATGATTATATCAACCTGAATCATGTGAACAAATCTAATTAAGCTACTGTGGCTAGAGATGTAAAATGTTTAAATACATCTCAAGTTTAACATATTAGATTTGCTTCATTTCTTAAACAAATTTAACACAAGCAGTGTTTATAATAGGTTTGGTATTAGTACTATAATGTGCAGTTACATTTATCAAAAAGCCCATGTTTAACTATAGAACCAATAAAATGCTAAACAGATCCCCCCCCCCAGGAATTCAAGGGAGCATATTTTTCTCCCCTTACCATCTTGTGAAATAAGTTGAGCTGAAAGTAACTGGCTCAAAGTACCGTAATCAAGTGATCCTCTGTGGCTACAAGTGGATTTGCTTCTCCACTGTCTTAGTAAGTGCACTGCAAATTCACAGATGCAAATTTGTTTATCAAAAGTTATGTTTGGTAGCTTCATAAATGTGTCTCTTTAATGAATTGCTACACTTTAATTTCATTTGAGGCTTGTATTGCACAATGAGTGACTTAATCTCTGTTAAAAGGTAATTATTCACATTTTTCCAAATCCCTTAATCAATTGATTTCATGAGGTGGATCATAAGTTAATTCTGGTCATAACATTGACAGCCAATGTCAAATAAAATAAACTTTCTAGAAAATCTGGTAATTTGCATTCCAAATTTCCAACAGCCTTCCAGATTCTCCCACATCTAATTGTTTTTATTGCACCATATCTACAGCTTTCTGAAAACAAAAATGTGTATTCATTTCCCTTAATTTGTTGCAGATAATGAGATGCTTTCTCTATTGGTGCTATTTTTTAAAATAAATCATAATAGCCCAAAGGTGCTTTTTCAGGAGGCAACTAGATTTTATGTTTTTTCTTTGAAGACGTTTCATTTCTTATCCAAGAAGCTTCTTCAGTTCTGACAGGATAGTGGGGAGTGGAAGGATTTATAATCCTTGCAGGATTTATAATCTTTCCCCATTAACCTGTCAGAACTGAAGAAGCTTCTTGGATGAGAAGCGAAACGTCTTCAAGCCTAGTTGTCTCCTGAAAAAGCACCTTTGGGACAACCATGACCTGGGTGACTGAGAATCTCTACGGACCTCTTGGACTATGTAGCTTCTGAGGAAAAATTATATGAGGTTTCTGTTTTTCCAATGTTAAATACTACTGGAATGTGCTAGTTCAGTGTGTTAAATTTAGAGGATTTTTGCCATCATGATTTAAAATAGAAACCAGTTCCCATGGAGGGATGAGCATCAGATTTTCACATTTCTCTCTTCATGGTTTAGAATTCAGCAGCCCCTTTTTTTGTTGTTGTCCAATTTTCTCCAGGACAAAGCTGTGCTGATCAGCAATTTCATTTTCAAGTTCTCAGTGGCATTTGTTCACTTACTATCATTCTACAAATCACAATATTTGTAAGTATCTTAAAATTTATTGCATCAACAGGAAAACAGCCAAATAGATGCTCAAACCTTCCATTTACATCCCTGGAAATACATGCCCCTCTTAGCTTCCACAGTAATTAACATCCAAGGTCCCACACATGACTATGAAGATGTTAAAGAGGTAATTTGACAATAAAGTATCAAACAGAATCTGGCTTCTTTCGAGAGAAATCATAAATTAAAAGGAATTTATTTCAAAAGTAGCAAGATGAATATCCCTATTCAAAGATCAACAAAAAAAAAAACCCTTTTACTACATATTTCTAATTGTTGCAAAACAGGGACTGCACTACCAGATACAGTTAACACTGATACTGGGTACCAGACAATCCACAGAACTAATTCTGCATACAAGACAACAGTTCGTGACAAACCCACCTTCATTCTTTTACAGCTTGTGCAAAATAGTTCCCAGGGACCATGACCCAAGGTTATAATGCTAGGATCCAAAGATGGGTTACTTCTAGATTCCCATTATTTGAAGTATTATATTAAAAGTACTGGGAGCGCTCATTTTGAATTGTGGGCATTTGAGGAATTTCAAGTTAAATATTAATAAATATTTAATTCAACTCATGCAAGACAGATACAAAACAAAAGATCATCTCAATTTTTATAATAAAGGCAACTTGCATTCAAAATGAACGGTACCCTTATGTTTTATTCAAAGGGTAAACGTGAATTAAACCCAGCTGTTTACTTGAATTACAAAAGTAACATGATTCAATATGAAAATAAGAAACTGTCTACAAATCTCTTGACAGTAGTAAATTGCAATATACAATGCATATAGGAGTTATACAGAGCAACAAACTCTTGTACAAAACAAAAAAAATATTTTAATACCTTTAAAATCCAAATTTCTTTTAAAATCACTCATGAAAAAAGGTTTGATTCAGAGTTCACGTCTCAATTAGTCAAGCCTCAGGAAGCTACATTACAACTATTGAATATACAAAGTGACATTTCTTTCTTCGCTAGCCAATTCAAATTCAAGTTCTCTTTCCTTTAGCGTCCCTTGTTCATATTTCTTACATGTCTAAAGTCTTCAAGTCATGAAAACTGAATTTGTTGAACACCAGGAATCTAGGGAATAGAAAACAAATACATATTAATTTCAAAAATCAATCCAGAAACACATTTGCTTGTGAGATCTATTGTAGCGATAGGCACACTTTTTCATTGTACTGATACCAAAAATGGAAATATTTAACAAAAAATGGGGGGGGGGAGGAAATGCTGTACCTGTTGATAGGACGTTGTATAAACCATGACATTTTGTTGTTGGCCATCTGTAGTTATCAAACCTGCTGGCAACTGGCTAGCTATATGAGAAAAAGAGCACTGTTAGAAGATTTCTGCTCATGTAGGATTAAACACCAAATCCAAGTTAAGAATCTACCATTAAACAGTATCAAAACTGATCTCTTTCACTAATATGTACTAGAACTGTAACCTGATAGTGCCAGATGAATGTTAGACCTTCCTAAAAAGAAACTAAGAGTTCAACTGTGAACTAATTTGGAAAATAAAAACACACAGTAGTATGAATAAAAACATTAAATAATATATTAACTCTCTCATTTTACGTTGGAAGTCAGATTGATTCTTTACAGTGCATTTTAATATTTTCAGTTTTTTAAAGCATGACTGTTTTTAAGTACATCACTGTACTTTAATGGAAACACATGCTCAAAGGTTCTCTATCCTCTTTTATAATTGTTTGTCTATGTCTGGCAAATATTTTTTTAATAACACACACAAAACAAATACACCTGATCATTTCAACAGGGAGAGTTCCATCTAATGCAACAAGCCTGTCAAATGCAACAAGAAACAAATGCAATAAGAAATAAATGCAATGTTTCTGACAAAATAGCATGGTCTACTAACTTCAGTCCTCAAGTTTCACATACTTGCTGCTCCATGTTCTATATTCCAATCTACTCCCAAAGTTTCTCTGAGTATTTTAAAATTCTAATAAAATACAGGTGAGCCTCCATTTACAATTGAGTCCAAAATTTATGTTGCTAAGTGAGGCATTTGTTAAGTGAATTTTGCCCCATTTTATGACCTTTCTTGTCACATTTGTTAAATAAATCACTGCAGTTGTTAAGTTAGTAATGCAGATGTAAAGTGCATCTGGCTTCCCCATTGACTTTGTCATGAGGTCCCAAAAGGTGATCACATGACCACAAGATACTGCAACCATCATGAGTCAATTGTGAAGCATTTGAATTTTGATCACATGACCACTGGGATGCCACAGCAGCCGTGTGAAAAACGGTCATACATCACTTTTTTCAGTGCCATTATAACTATGAAAGTTCACTAAACGAACGATTGTAAGTCGAGGACTACCTGCATATGTGTTGTATTGCAAGGGGGGGAGGAGAGAGAGAGAGAGAGAGAGATGAACTATTAAAAATTAGACACCTCTTTTTTATGGTGTTTACATAAAGGTCTCTCTGCCTTACTTTCACACATTCTTCCTCTCATTCAGGAGGATCATCTGACCTTCAGATGAACCTTTCTGGGCAACAGGAAGAAAGGAACTAAGCTTCTATCAGCAATGCCTACACACACTTTGATCTATATTCACACGATCCTTTAATCAGTATAGGGATTTTTTTTATACAGGCACTCAATATTTAGAATATAATTCAGTGAAGAAAACAACTGTGCAATTAACATAGTTCTGCTGTGATAAAGTTTTATCAGAGAATTCCTCCTTTCCTGCCTGATTAGATTTTCTACCAAAACCATGTACAATTAATAATTATCTTCAGCCACTCAAAAGCATCTGTATTCTACTGGAAAAAAGGAAGAGTTCAAAACTTGTGGAAGATATCTAATTAAAAGCTCAATGAACTCTAAGCAAGAGACACACACCTGTTATCAAATGCAAAGAATGCAAAAAATGTCTTTACAATGGGATCTTGTGAGACATCAGAATTCTGCATAGTTTAAACAATCCCATAATGAAAGAAACATTTGTTTTCTACATAAATTTTTATTAAAACAATTCTGTCTTATGGTAAGAATGCATGGTTAGTTTTAGGTAAATTACACTGTTACCGTTTATCAAGTTTCAGGTAAACAACTGTATTTTAAACCCAGTATTTCACATTAATTTTCAATTTAATTTTCCACAGTAGTGTTGTTTCTCTTTTCTTCATTATAATCAGTGTGAGATTCTCTGAATATGTTCAGGACATAACTATTTCAAATAAATAACAATGCTGACTTGAGATCAAAGGCTACTATTTGTGAATGAAGGATATTAAAAAAATAACATTCAGTAAGCTTCAGTAAGTAATCCAACAGCAGCAGCAGAATTGTTTTGTCTCTGTGTTTTCATTAAGGAATAAATCTTCATGCATCAAAATATATGTTATGCTATCTCACATGTAATTTTCAATGGAAATTCTCAATGGCCAATCATTTATAGTGATTGCAACAAGTGTACGTCAATATGAAATCTTGCTCAAAAGTTGTAAATCACTCAGTATAATTCTTTGTTCATTTAGTTTCAATCTTGTTTTCAAGGATTCATAAACAAACTTAAGATAATACTTTGCTTGTTCAATTTGTTCATTGAACTGTTCCAAGATTACAGTGGTGCTGAAAAAAATGGATGTATAACCAATCCTCAGTTCTGGCTACTGCAGCATCCCTGCAGTCACTTGATCATACTTGAATGCCTGGCTCACAATTATAGCATTGCAGGGAGCCATGGTCACGTGATTGCCATTTGCAACCTTCCCTGCCAGCTTCCCACAAGCAAAGTCAATGTGAAAGTTGGCAGAGAAGGTCACCTATTCCAGTCCCCTGGCCAACCTGGACTCATGTGTAGCCTGCGCAGGATCCTCCCCTTCTGCCCATGCTACTTACCTGGGACTCCTGCCACTTTCTGCTTAATGATCTGTGGAACTTGGAATTATTATGGCAACTGGAAATGATAGCTGGGATTGCTATCACTACGTGATGAGGTCACATGACTTTGCGCTTTGCCCAGTCCCTAACCCAAGGACTAGCATCAATATTTTGTGGACTGCATGTACTTTGCCATTAAACTGTCACATAAATACTGGCTATAGTTTAATACAATTAACAAGCCTATTTAATTGTAAGCATTAAGCAACAATTACCACATCTGCCCCAGGCAATATTAGAAATACAGTACTTACTAAATGCTTCCTCTGTGAGCTCCTCACTAAGGCCGTCTGCTGTGGTAACTGTTCCACCAATGCCTTTTTCTCCCTTCATTGCCTTGAAAAACAGTAGTTTTACATATAACACATGCATTTTCTGCAATTCACTATACAATTGAATAAGTTTGAAATCTCTCTTTCTCTCTTATACAAAATACTTTTCCTAATAGGAGCCTGTTGATTTTGCCTTATCACTGGTCATATTAAATATTCATATAGTAGGTTTTCTGGGCAAGTTTCTTGGACAAAATTGCAAATTAGGCAGATGTTTTGAAGAATTTCCCCATACTACTGCGAGCTCAGTCTGTCTTAACCAGAGGCTGATTTGAGGTTCTGTCTTCCAACTTGCTAGGAATAGCTGTTTACAGAGAGAAACTGCAACGATAAGCACCATTCCTTGTTATGAGATGCATATGTATCAACTCTGTTCTACTCTGTTCATTCTTATCATTATTGTAAACAAAGTAGAAGTAAAACAGATGTAAAGTAAAGCCACAAAACCCCCTCCACATTAAAACAGTGCAAATAAGAGGGGGAAGAGAAGAAAGCTTGTTTGTGTCAACATTTATATACTTTAGTTTGATTTCTTGGAGATTCTCATCCATTTTCTTCTCAGAACTGAACACATTAAATTACAACGCTAACTGCAAATGTTGATTAACCCACATTGTTAAAGCAACAAATTGGTAAATACAAGCTGCTTTTTTAGTCTAATCCATGTGATATGAATAGGAATATTTTTCTATTATAAATATATACACTTGTATAGTAAAGGAAAATCTTTACAAAGCACTGAAGTACAGGTAAAAAGTGATCTTTTCCAATAATAACACATACAAATTACCTAGCTATCTTTACTTTTAATAAAAATATATTTAAACATACAATGAAACAGTTGCAAATAGAATTACAAACCTCTCTAAACTTCTGAAGATACAACTTCAAAGGTTCAACATAGCTATCAAACCCCAGAGTAGACATAGCAAAGAGAATATCTTCTCCATTTATTGTCTTCCGTTTCTCTTGATGACACCTCTCACTTGCTTCTGATGTGATAAAACTGATGAATTCACTGACACACTCCTGCACACATTCTTTTGCATCTTTAGCAATCTAAAATATACACAATGTACATTAACATATTGTAAACTACTATTTTCCAAAAAGATAAAAATTATATTAACCCCCTCCAAAACATAATAAAAATATTAAAAAGGCATAATAATGGAGCATGTCTAAAATATAAAAACAAGGCAGGCAGATACAGGGAGGTATGTTCTTTCAGACATTTAAGCCCCAAAATATTTTGATCTTTAAAGATGAAATCAGTCATCAAATGGACTGGGAATGATACATCTTCTGTTCAAGAGGAAAACAGGGTATGTAACAGATTCCTGGACACGGGAAACTTATATCAAAGGCATCTATTCTACTGGAGTTTTGCTTTGGTTTGCTGATTCTCATTCATGTTGTTACTAGGTCTAAGTATTATTAACATCTTACTTGATTAACCAGTGTTCCATCTGATTCAGATGACAAGCAGATCAGAACTGAATATTAAAATATTGTTATCTTTGTGTCAAATTCCCCAGTTGTACTTCTTAACAAAAGTACCATGTACCATGTGCAGAAATGTTGCAGAACCATTTTTAGAAACTCAATCTGCCCCATTAATGCACGCCTACGTCTAATCGAAGAGCCAATCTAGCTAATTATCAATGCCAATTATATTAAAGGCCACTAATGTTTAAAATAATATAATAAATAAAGCATATTCCCCAGATTAATCTCAATTAATTCTTAAGTATATTAAGAAAACTAACAAAATATGCATTTTATACAAAGAAATGGAAAGTGAAAAATATTTTTTAAGAACAAAACTTCTAAAATTAACGAAGTAATCTGTTTGAAAGCAACCAGGATGATCCATATGGAAAACAGTTGAAACTCAAAATATTTTGCCTGCCATTAAATAAAAAATAAATGTTCTTTCACTGAAGGAATGCTTCTGAGAATTTTTAATTATTGGAGTGTCTTTCCTCAATATGAAAAATGACCTGGCCATTTCCTTTTAAGAGAATGAAACTGTCCCAGAATTTAAAAGTTATTTTCCCTCACAAGAGAAAAATGCAAACTTCTATTCTGGACAAGATGGAATTGTAATAACCAAACAATATGACACTCTTGCCTGTTAACAGAGACTGATGACTCACTGTTAAAAAGCAATATCATATCCAAAGACCCTAATCTGGGTTTAAAATATGGAAAACTATCAAAGATTTATTTTACATATATTACCTTTCCTGTCTGAGGTATAGCATTCTTCATTATCCTTGCCACATTTGCAATAGGAAGATATATATCTTGTTCTCTAAAACTCTCTTTGGAACCATTTGTATCGTCATGATCATTCATGCTGTCCTCAGTATCTAAGAAAACACAAATAAATATTAATTACATAATCAGGAATGTTAATCAATACACTGATACCCAACTGAAAAACCTATACTTACTTGTATTATAGGCAGTCCTTGAGTACAACAGTAATGAAGCCTCCTCATCAAGGCTGTAACTCTTGAGGCTGTAAATTGGTCACCCAAGTGACCGATTTTATGAACTTTTTTGTGATGATTGTTAATGGAACATTGCACTTGTTAAGCAAACCATTGGTTCACTATAGATGTGATTTTCATATTTTTACACGTCGTCATTCTAAGAATGAAAAGACCATGCTACTAGCCTAATACAACCAGCAATATTAAGCCAAAGGCCGTGATGGCGAACCTATGGAATGTGTGCCATAGGTGGCATGCAGAGCCCTCTCTGTGGGCACAAAAGCCGTCGCCCCAGCCCAGCTGCATCATGCATGCATTCGTGCCTCCTGCTGGCCCTTTTTTGGTCCCAGGAGGCTGCAGGGAGGTGTGGTGTCGCGTGGATGTGCTGGGGTCATGCGCACATGCACGGGGTGCGGGTGTGTGTGTCATGCGTGCATTGCATTATGGATACAGGCACACGCACACTTTCAACACATGATGACAGAAAGGTTAGTCATCATTGGCCTAAGGCATAATTTATATCAAAGATGGGCATGCTTAGCCTATGAGCAAGATGTCATTCTTGTACTAATTTTATGTAGTTTTTTGGCCTTCCTTCAAAAGTTCTTTGCAACACTTTAATGTAGACACTAAAACAAATCATTTATATCTTCCCTGTCAGCCTCCTGTACAGGAAGAAAGAAAAAGGCATTTCAAACAGAATGGGTCTGAGTCAATAGATTCTGTTCTACATATTACTTACCATCATGAGGTTGGATCACATAGTGACTACTACCAATATAATCTCCAGCAATTCCCAGCTGTGAAGCATCTGTTGTAGAATTATCACCATCCATCTAAAATAATAAGATAACATTGTTAAACAGAACATTGGCTATATATACAAAATATTATAATCATGAATGGCAATATATATAATATCAATAATCTTCTGTACTTGAACTTTAACTTTCATGTATATTAAGAAAATTCCACTACATTTCTTAATTTCTTATTCAGTTCAATCTATCTGCTAAATTGTTTTAGCATACCGGGATACTATTATGGTATGACATTTCTTTTATCATCCCCAGGCAGTCAACTTTATTCTTTTGTGGGAACTTATACAAACTGAAGTATTTCAGAAGTTATCAAACAGATATCAAATGTTAAAGACTTACACATAAATAATTAATTATCCACTATTTCAAATAACTGAGTGTTTCTCAGTGCATTAGGTCCCATACGATAGAGGCCATTGTTCATTAGGCAAATTGTTCACAAAATAATGTTTCTCTGTGTAAATATTTCATGCTTTGGGTCCACTTCAAGAAGCATTAAACTGAATTTCAAAGAGAATTACTACTACTTCCATAAATAAGGATTACATAAATTTAATAAATTTGGGAGTGGGGGGAAAGGTTCCTTCATTTTGAAATTTTATGTATCTCCATCACTATTATATTTGTTTTGGTCCTTTTTTGTTATTAATTGTAAAGCAATAAAATAATCTCAACCCCCCCCCCCCTGCCAAGGAAGCATCATCTACTGCTGTTTTACAAGGCCAATATTGGATTAAAACTAATCTGACCTGAGAAGGGGCTTTCTGCTCTCAGTAGCTCACACTTGAAGCAGACAAAGTGGATGGAAGTAGGAAGAGGCTTATAGATAGCCACCCTGTGACTCAAAGGTTGCCCAGAGAGGAGTGTGAAAGAAGTGGGCTGAAAGGGATGGGCATTCAGTTCAACAGCTGCTTTGATCACAGGCCAAATTACTAGTCTTTCCCTTGCAAACTGAAGAGGGATGCAGCACCAGACCACTGAGCAAACTGCTTTGGATTGCTTGACAAGAGCCAGACATTTGTATCAGAGTAGGTCTCTATCATTCCACTGAAAGAGAATGCACTGGTATCCCTAACAGGGCACATTCCCCCATGTTTCTCTGCTCAAAGAATGGCTGCAAATGATCCAGCCTCTCCACCTCAGTGATTAGTCAATAGGAAGAGAGTGAAGACAAGATCATAGCAGCAAGAGGAAGAAGACATGTCAACAAACCATGACAGATTATTGTCAGAACTGGTTCTCTAATGCAAATAATACTTCTGGATATGTCCACATAGACCAGGAGTGTCAAACTCATGACAACACGGCATTATGTGACGTATCACAACTTTTCCCCCTTTGCTAAACCAGGGCTGGGCGTGGCCAACATGTGATGCATCCAGCCCATGGGCTGTGAGTTGGACACCCCTGACATAGATTATTTGATATCACTAGAAAAGTGGCATCCCTCTGGGACAGCGGTTCTCAACCTGTGGGTCGCGACCCCTTTGGGGGTCGAATGACCCTTTCACAGGGGTCGCCTAAGGCCATCAGAAAACACATATTTTTAATGGTCTTAGGAACCGAGACACCAATTTTATGGTTGGAGGTCACCACAAGATGAGGAACTGTATTAAAGGGTCGCGGCATTGGCAAGATTGAGAACCACTGTTCTGGGATATTTTTTTCAAACTTCTTTAGCTTGCAGTCCTGAGTCTTTCTAGTACAGTATTTCACTCAAGTCCTGTCTAGTGTCTATTCAAGTCTTCAAGATGTGCTAAAATCAGCTATCACATCTGAAAGTGCCAAAAGAGTCCTTATCATATTTTCATAAATCTTACTTTATAATAGAATGATTTAATGTCTATTATACAATTGGGTGGGAAAACCATTTTTACATTTTGAGGAATGTACTTTGAAAAGTTAGATCTGAGATATTACATTTCTAATCCTATACATTGTTATCTATGGATTTCATCAAGGTCAATTAGACAACTTATAAGTAAATGTATCCCATTGTGAAGATAATCAATCTTTGATATCTTTCTTCATCTATATCATGAATTCAGATATAAAATTTCAATATTAGGCAAACTAATTTATAAGCTGTCTTTTCAATAATGCTAACAGTACATTAACAGTATATTAATTTATTTTATATAAATCTAAGTACATATATTTTGAGTTATTTTTAGAGACAATAATGTACATTGCTTATTAATAACTATATTGAATATTATCCCTTTCAGTTTTCTATGCCCTTTTAAAATTATACTTGACAAATAATGCAATTATTCCAAGTTTAATATCAAATCAGTAATTCTGGGAACTAACAGGCAAGTATACATTCTGCGTCAAGGATAAAACACCTTTAATACTAATCATTTCTGTCTAAGTCAACAACACAAACATAACCCAGAGAAAATATGCAAGGCTCCCTTAAAAAGAAGTCAGAGAAGTCTCGTGAAATATTTGCACTTCTGATAGGTTCACTAGCATTTTACTCACATGGTGGCACCTTAAAATTAGGCAGGCAGGCTGGCAAAACAACAACAACAACACCCTGATCCGACGATACTGCTGTAGTTGTGTGTACGTTTTATTAAAAAATAAAATAAATGAAAGAATTACTCCGAAGTGAAGATCCACTTGGTGGGTTGAATCCTTTCAGGCCGGGAGCGATAAAGCCCTTTTGACAACCCGGGGTGGGTGGGTGGGTGGAGGAGATGCACGTGGGAGACGTAACAAGAGAAAACAACAGCCACGTCTGAATGCTAATAAATGCGCAAGCGGGAGGGAAAAAACCCCACAGACCCAGTGGAGGAAAAAGCTTTCAATAAAATACCAGGCTCCCTACCCACCCACCTTTAGGGCCGTCATGCCCGGGCAGCAGAACGAAGCATCTCCTCCTTGGCTGGGGATTGCGGGAGCCCCCTTTTCTCTGACAGCGTCCCATTTCCCCCCTCGGACCCCAGCCAGTCCTGGAACCGCGGAAAAAGCGGCGCGGCGCGACGGGAGGGTCGGGGCTGGCGAGGGGCCACCCGCCCCGTACCACCCCGCGACCCCTCTTCTTTAGGCCGAGCCCAGCCAGAAGCGGACAAAGCGGGGCGGCTTAAAAACAAGCCCAACTCCGCCCGGGGAGGGAGAGAAACGGGGAGGCGTCCTCCCCTCCCCGAGGGTCACCACAGCGCCCCCACCTCAAATAGTAATGAGGGGGCCTCAGGGGGGTCCTCACCGCAGGAGGACCCCCCACTCGGGAAGAGGGCGCGGGGGGGGGATGAAGGCGAGGACGGTTGGGCTCCCCGCTGCCCCGCAGGCGACCCAGGACGAGGCGCCGCCGTCTCGCTCGGGCCTCGCTCTGGGTCGGCCGCCCCGCCGCCGCGGCCGCCGCGTTTCCAGGGCCCGGCCGGCCAGCCAGCGCCGCCATCTCGCCGCCTCCTCCTCCCCTCGCGGCGGGGAGCAGAAGCCGCGGCACAAAGAAGCGGGAGGCAGGCGGGCCCGGCGTGGGCTCCGCTGGTCTTTTTTTCCAGGCT